CGATGTTTGCCCCCCCCGCGCGTGCCGCTCCTCCGTCGTCCCTGTCGTCTTTGCCGCCGTCGTTCTGTCGTTTTGTTGTCTTCTTCCTCGCATGACCCTCCTCTTCAATACGCGTGTCTCCTGCTCCTGCTCCTCCTCCTCCTCCTCCTCCTCCTCCTCCTCCTATGCCCTCCTCCTCCTCCTCCTCCTATGCCCTCCTCCTCCTCCTCCTCCTCCTCCTCCTCCTCCTCCTCCTCCTCCTCCTCCTATCCTCCTCCTCCTCCTCCCTCCTCCTCCTCCTCCTATGCCCTCCTCTTCAATAAGTACGCGTTTCTCCTGCTCCCCCTCCTCCTCCTCAGTCTCCTCTTGGGCACGCCCCTCCTCCTGCTCCTGCTCCTGCTCCTGCTCCTCCTGCTGCTGCTGCTCCTCCTTCTCCTCCTCAGTCTCCTCTTGGGCACGCTCCTCTTCCTGCTCCTGCTCCTCCTCCTCTTCCTCCACCTCCTCCTCATCATTCTCCTCTTGGGCACGGTCCTGCTCCTGCTCCTGCTCCTGCTCCTTCTCCTCCTCCTCCTCCTCCTCCTCCTCCTTCTCCTCCTCCTTATTCTCCTCTTGGGCGCGCCTCTCCTCCTGCTCCTGCTCCTGCTCCTGCTCCTGCTCGTTCTTCCTTCTCCTCCTCTTCCTTCTCCTCCTCCTCCTCCTCCTTATTCTCCTCTTGGGCACGCCCCTCCTCCTCCTCCTGCTCCTGCTCCTGCTCCTCCTCCTCTCCCTCTTCCTCCTCCTCCGCCGTGGCCATGTTGGCTCAAGCCGTTTTGGCTCAAGCCAGGCTTCCCTGATGCGCCACTATGGGCCGCGCGCGCTCCATGTCGGCCGGCTCCCGTTCATGCTCTTCGCTCTCCTGGTCCGCTTCGGTCTGGTCGCCGTGCAGATATCTTTGCACCTGGTGATCGTCGTGTGCTTGGATGCCGAGTTCGGGTCCACCAGCGCTGCTATCCGTGCGACGCAGGGATACCTGTGGCCGAGTCTGCACTCGTGCTGCTGCAAGCTTAGCTCTGCGGCAGTCTTCTTCTCTTGTCCTCAACGGCGCATTCGCGAGCAGAGCTTTCTGGCCACTACGTCCACGCAGACGTCCTGTCTGATCTCGAGTGCGACGCAAACCGATGACCTGTCGAATCTTCGCGCTTCTGCTATCCCGTTGTTGTCCGCCCATTCTGGCTACTGGCAACTGGGAGGTCTCGGCCATCTGCTGGCCTCGAATATGCTGCTGCCCGCGCGCCGCAGGCGTCAGGCCGACCTGGTATTTTGTATCGGGCACGTCTCTCTACAGGAGGAATATTCTAGAATAGTTTTAGAAATCGTCTGGGGACGATGTGTCGATCATGTTTGCCTACAATTAGGCATTATTTGAGTAGTTTGTTATATACAACTTGTTTCATCCAACATCAGCCTGTAGGGGGACAGGCCCAACCTAAGTATTGTTCTCCTGCTCGCCCCAGCGACCTGCCTGAACACCGCCGGCGCCCAGGCGCCCTCGCCGTCGCCATTGCGGGTGCTGCTCGCGCTCCTGAGCTTCGATCTCCTGAGCCTGATCCTCCACGCCACGAGCGTGTTGATCTTGGTAGTCGTGCGGCCTCTGTTTTGAGGTCTCTCCGTCAGGATAAGCATCCCAGGCTCACTGTCGTTTTGTTTTGGTTTGCGAAGTGTTCGACCCACTGGCTGAAGCGAGTGGATCTGACACGGGTGCTCAAGCCGAGCCTGACCTGCTGTCTCAGGTTCGCAAGTCGCTTCGCGAAGAGGGAGATCTTGCTCCAGATGCGCGATCTTCAGGAAGTTCAGACTGACCCGCAATGTCGGGTAAACTAGTCTGTTCCTCATCGTTAATCTCAGTCGAGGCTTGGATTCAGGGCGCCTGTCAACAAACATAGTTCTGATGCTCGGCCTAGTGCTCACGACGTTCCAGGTGGTGTTGTCCACGGGCCTCACAGTTGTGATGACTCTGGCGGTGACGGCGCTCCCCGACGACCTTCGGACGATGCTCGGGCTCCTGGTCTTCGCTAGTCAGAGCTTGGTCGTCACGCCAAGAGCGTGTTGAAGTTGATGTTCTTGCTCTGGCTGGTTCTGATGTCCGTCCTCGCGTTCAAGACATTTCAGGTGGCGTTGCCCACGGTGCCCACGACGCCGCCCGTCAACCAGTGCTTGGCAGTTTCGATTTTTATTGCATGACAGTTCCGGGCGACGGACCGCGCATCCGTACCGTGTCGGCGTTCAGGTGTTTTCTTGCCTGCGCCCGCGGCGACGGCTGCCTGTTTGGCCATCTCTCCACGTTGACGTCCGAGGCGATCAATGCAGAGCACGTGCGCCTGAATGTGGTTGCGCCAGACATTGAAGGCTCGCACGTGCTGACGGAAGCTCGGTGGCATCTGCGCGCGGCTGGTCGTCTGGCTCCTGAGTTTCCCTTGTGATGCCGTTGTTGATTGCGAAAGGGCTGCCTCTCCAGCTGGTGTTCTGTCGCTGGCGTGCAAGGACTGCGAGTCGGGTGTCCCTCACAGCGTGCTTGGTTGCAAGAGCTGCGAGCTGGGGCTGCTCGACCTGCACAGCGTGACGGGATGCCAGGTCTGCAAGTTGCCTCTCGCTCGTGTCGATCATCAGTCTCTGCCTGCTGGTCGTCACTTGTTTAGCGAACCCGCTCTCGATGAAGGATGCCCTTATATGCTATTCTGTTGGCGCGACGCATCAGGCGACGAGGCTTACGCTTTGTCGGCGCGACCGACTGCATGATGAGCTGCATGATGATCATGTGTGGATTCCTTTCGGCAAAGGTCTCGCTCGCTGCATTCCACTGCGTTGGAACTCGGCGATTCCTGGCGTAGCCAAGCATGCCGTGCATCAAGAGCGGCGCTAACAGCGGCTTCATCTTGCGTCTACCCGTCCTTCGGTTCCTGTCTTTCGGCTACTTTGTCGTCGGTTTCCGCGGCGTCCTCCCAGGTACACGCCCTGTTTGGTCTAGCTGTCGATGGCGCTGCTGAGGGTCTTACCGCTGCTGCCAACGCTTCCCCTGCGCTTCTGCCACCACCTAACGACGCTGATGGAGTACTCCCTGTACTTCAGCCTCCTGCAGGGCTGCTGCTACATGTCGGTGGCGTTGCTACGGGTCCTGCCGATGCTGATCTCGCTCTCCCTGAGCTTCTTCCTCTACCAGACGAGGATGCTGGCGTACTCTGTGTACCTCAGCCTCCTGCTGTGCGTTCGCATCCTGTCGCCGGTGCTGCTGCAGGTCCTGCCGCTGCTGTGTCTCGCGATGCTCTACAAGATGATGCCGTTCCTTATTTTCCTCTGGCTGTGTCGAAGAAGGTGACGATACAGAAGAAAGCTACGATGGGCATCAGGGACATAAATCGCTAACGTGCGCGGCACGACCTACAACGTTAAGAGGGGGAAGAACAAATAATGATAATACACAGAGTGAGGAAATTTGTCGATGGGTTATTTCTGCTGCTGGTGCTGCTGGTGATGAGCAAGTTGTGCTTGATGAAGCTTTGGCTGCACGTCTTAGGGGGGCAGGTGGTTCTAGGGGTCCCTCTTTTTCGATATAGTGATCTTCTGCGGCTCCGCTGCGACAGCAAGGCCATCTCCGTTCATGTCGACCTTTTGGCCATGGCCGTTGATACTAGCTCGATCTTCGACGCTTTCGCCGATTCCTTCAGCTCCCAGCCGTCCGCGCTCAACGCCTACGGCTCGTACTATCACTCTGCCGCCCGCGAGGGCGGCTACCCGTTTGCGCTCGCCGCGGACTCATCTGACGGCGCTGCCAACCGCCTCGGCGGTCACGGCTCCACCGTCTACCCGAACAGCTACGACGACCTTGGCTCACTCGACGCTGCCGACCGCATGGGCGCCTTCAGCGCGAGCCTGAGAGCCTCGGCGCAGGCGCGGCCATAGGCGGGAGGGGCGGCTCGCCTGGGGACGCCCGGCTCCTCCTCCTCCTCCTTTTCCTCCTCCTCCTCCTCCTCCTCCTCCTCCTCCTCCTCCTCCTCCTCCTCCTCCTCCTCCTCCTCCTCTCCTTCCTCTGCCACAGGGCGCGCTGCCGATGGCAAAAAGTGTCCAGGCGTTTGCCTGCGGGGAGGTTGGGCGGTCGCGCGCGGCGAGGGGGGGTAGAGCTCGGGGGGTCCGCGCAGAGCGTCTCGCACCGGCGCGTGGCCCGGAGTGCAGAGCCGCCAGAGGCTCGGACCCAGACGTTCTGGAACAGTTTTCGAAAGTCTCTTCGGGTCGGGCGGGTACATTCACGCCTTTGACATCAAGACCATTTGGGGCTCATGAGAAGCTCTGGTTTCCAGGCCCTTCTCAGATCTAAGCGGGGGCCCCGTTCGTGGCCGAAGTTCGCCGTGACCAGAAAACCCCAGTGGGTCCGTGGCCAGCGTTCCAAATGCTGGCACGACGGCTGTGTGCCAGTGGAGGTGCGTGCGGCAGTGACGCCGCGGTCCGCTCGCAGCGAAAAGCGAGAGCGACTGCACTGGAAGCCCACGCCCAGAAACACCCTGATTGCCTCCAGGGTGCCCTGGGCTTCTCGGATTTCGATGGTCTTGCTAGCTATGAAGAGCGTGACGTTCCCACACCAAAAATCCAGTAGGTTACATGGGTCGGGGGTCGGGGGTCACGCTGGGGGAAGGGGGGGGCGCGGTGGGGGCGACCTGTTTCGGGGGCCGGGCTCCGTCACCAGGGGCGCCAGAAAGAGCAGCTAGAGTGGAGGCCCATGCCAAGAAACACCCTGCTTGCCTCCATGGTAACCTGGGTTTCTTCGGTTTTTGATGGATTTTCCATGGGAAGCGTGACGTTCCTCCACAGCAGAACTCGGTGCACGTCCTGGGGTCTCAGGGCTGGGTTTCTTGTGAGAGGTCTCTTGTGGTCGAGCTCCTGCTGTAGGGGTCCCCCCCCCCCCGTGCGCCCGAGGGACTCGCGGCCTGCTTGGCCCGGCGCGGCCTCCTCGCCTCCACCTTGCAGCCGCGCCCCCCGCGGCGCAAGCCGAGGCTGGGAGCCGGCCGTGCACGACGGGCTGTCTCCTGGGCTGGCAAGCCTGGCGGCACTGCGCGCGGTGCCGTGGCGGGGGGGGGGGGGGGGGAAGTGCATCTCCCCTGCTCTCCCCAGGCCCAGGCACGATCGCCCCGTACATGAAAACAATCGGGACGGGAGGCTTTGGGCGATTTTCGGCCTCAGGCCCTCGCCCGGCCCCGGGGCCGTCAACAAAACAACGATTCAGGCGGACAAAGCCGGTCCCGGGGAAGGGGTACCGGGACGTCCGGGGACGCCGCATTGAAAAAATCAGGGCGTCGCGTGTCTGGGGAGATCCGACGCTCCAGAAAAATAGGTGCTGCGGCGGGATCTGGGCAGTTTTGGGCCTCCAGGGGCCCTCGCCGGACCTCGGGGGCGTCAAGCAACGACTCGGGACGAGAAGCCGGCCCCGAGGAAGTGCCCGCATGGTAAGGATGGGCAACCTTCCCAGGGGTAACCTTGCATCCTTGCCTCCTCGGCCCATCCTTGGCGACTTTCGTGGGCCAACCTCGTTCGAGAGACGTTCACATGGCCTTCCAAGGCCCTTGCATCCTTACCGCCCGTCCTTATGATACGGGTTGACTGTGGTCTGGACCTCTGGGACCCACGCGTCGAACAAATTGGAGCGGCCAGACGTCTGGGCCCTTTCTCCGTGCTGCTGCTGCTGAGCTCGCGCCACTGAAGGGAAGCCCCCGCGGTGTCTGACGAGCCTACTCTTAAGGCAAGCATGTCCCTCTACAGGAGGAATAGAAAACAAGTAGTCCAACAAATGCAATGGGGACGGCATTTCGTTGTTCTTATGTTTGAATGTGTTTGGCTACTTGTCATTGTTCTTCAAAAATCCGCATGTAGGAGGAAATGCCCGACTTAAGCCTTCCGTGCCCACGGCGTCGTCGCCACAGCCTCCCTCCTTTTCTTTGCTCTAGGCCTCCTAGATGGGGTCGGAGGATCGCGCCGCATCTTCGATGCACCAGCGATGCGTCGGCGATGCGGCTCGATGTGGGGCCCAACTTTCTCCACGTCGACGTCGCGGGTACAACGTCGACGTCGCCAGTACATGGCCGATGCATCGCCCATGCATCGGCGATGCATCGCCGACGTATTGGCGATGTGGCGAGATCCTCTGACCCCATCTGTCCAGACCCCATGTGGGAGGCCTCTATTTGTCTACGTGTCCGCTCCTCCTTCCCCCCTAGTGCGAGACGGAGTTGGGCAGAATGCTGGTGCTACGGACCTCTTGCCCTCCCCCTCCCACCACGCGAACCTTCTCGAGTGGACACCCCTCTCCCTTGGTCGATGATGGGCTACTGTCGGACACCCACTGGGCCTCGCAGCTCCCTGCTGAAGAGGCTGTGCCCGCAGCCTCAACATTCCACCTCGCAGGGAGGTTCCCCATCCATCCTTCCGCCCCCCCCTTCCCTTCTGCCAAAGCCCTGCAACAGACTGCGAACCCAACCCCTGTGGGTCCACTCGACGCTTCGGCATCGGACACCCCCGCCGCGGTTCACATGGCTGCAGACACCCTTGGAATTCGGAAACCAGCCGGCGCTTCAGAACTCTGACCTGCAGGGGCATGGTGCTTCTTGTCCCCCTCCCTCATTCCAGCATCCCAGCATCCCCCTTTCTGCACCCCCTCTCCAGTGTCGACTCCTCCTGGCCCAGGCCCCCGCGGCGGCGGGGGCGTGCCCGCCGATGTGGCGTGCCCAGCCAGGGGGCGGCGCTGCAGTCAAGACGTTGAAAGAAGGACCACCTGGAGCTCGGTAGGGGCTCTGGGGGGGTGGGCCAGGGGGGGGGAGGAGGAGGAGGAGGAGGAGGAGGAGGAGGAGGAGGGAGGAGGAGGAGGAGGAGGGAGGAGGAGGAGGAGGAGCAGGAGCAGGAGCAGGAGCAGGAGCAGGAGCAGGAGGAGCAGGAGGAGCAAAGGGAGGAGCAGCAGGAGGAGGAGGAGGAGGAGGAGGAAGAGGGGCAAAGGGAGGAGGAGGAGCAAAGGGAGGAGCTGCAGGAGGAGGAGGAGGAGGAGGAGGAGGAGGAGGAGGAGGAGGAGAATGAGGAGGAGAAGGAGGAACCCTTTCGTGGCCGGGGCCCGCCGTGGACGGAAGAGCCCCGTCGCTCCGTCCTTGGCTTTCCCTCCTGGGCACAGCGCGAGGGCTGCACCTCGCTTGTGGTGGATGCGCAGGATCGCGGTCTCCTCGAGAGGCAGTGCCGGGCCGAGGCCGAGTGCCGCGAGAGCCGGGGGTGGAGCCCTCCCCAGACATGATTGCGTCGTGAACAAATCACGACGGCATTTTCGGCCCCCTGGGGGCCCTCGCCGGGCCTCGGGACCGCCAGAAAACGACTCGGGATGGAAAACCGGTCCCGGGAATGGGTCCGGACTTCCAGGGACGCGGTCTTGAAAAAGTCGGGACGTCGCATGTCTGGGGCCAGGGCCCAGGGTGGAGCCCTCTCGAGTGGCCTCCAGCCGCGGCGGGCCTGGCAGGGCGGGCCCTGCTGCTCCGCAGGGCCGCACCCGCGCGGGTCTCCCCTGAGATCCGACGTTGCAAAAAGATTGCAACATCGCAGCACATCACGACCAGACCCCCGGAACCCATCTTTCTGCGTCATTTTTCGAGCCGGATAGACTTGCAAGGGCCCCAGGGCCCGAGGTGGAGCGAAAGCGCCCGGCTCGAAAAAATCGGGTCGCCAGGATCCCAGGCTCTCGAGCCGCACGCGCGCCCGCCGCGGCACGGCGGCCGGCGAGAGGCCACCTCTGCGGCAGCAGGCCTTGCGTTGGTCTTCGCTCTATGGTGGGCCTGCGGTCGGCGCCCGGGCGATCGGCGCGCGGCCGCCGACGCCCCCTGCGTAGCAGGGTGCACGGCGGCCGACGGAGGCCCCAGCCAGGCGCCATGTTATATAGCCCCAGACATGATCGCGTCGTGCAAAATCGGGGCGCGAGGTTCTTTCTCGCTTTCGGCCTCGGGGGGCCCTCGCCGGGCCTCGGGAGCCTCAAAAAGCGACCCAGGGTGGAAAACCGGCCCCAGGGAAAGGGTCGGGACTTCCGGGGACGCCGTCCTGAAAAAAACAGGACGTCGCATGTCTGGGGCCTTATGCGCGGTTGCATGGGTCGGGGTCACGCTGGGGGAGGGGGAGGGGGGGAAGCACGGTGGGGGCGACCTGTTTCGGGGGCCCGGGCTCCGTCACCCCGGGCGCCAGAAAGAGTAGAGTGGAGGCCCGTGCCGAGAGACACCCTGCTTGGCTCCAGGGTGCCCTGGGTTTCTTCGGTTTCGATGGTTCCTCCTTGGAACGCGTGACGCTCCCACGCCAAAAATCATTGGACGTCCTGGGGTCTCAGGGTTGGGTTTCTTGTGGAAGATTTCTTGTGGTCGAGCTCCCACTGTAGACAGAACCCTCACAGACAAGCAGACTGCGAACTTCGACTGCATCTTCCAGCGACAGCCGCTCCGCGTGTCCGCCGCGGTGCCCAGGCCGCGGATCTGGCGACCGAGGCGCCCTCCGTAAGATTATTCCGCTCCGAGGTGCGGCTGCTCAGGTGCAGCTCCCATGGGGCTTCGAGTGGCTTCGACGGGCCTACAGTCAGAGTCCAAATTACCACAAGGAACCTTGGATCAGGGAGGACGCTCCTTTGGGGCGTCAGTGGCTCCCAGGTGCACGTGGAATGTCAGGGGCTAACCTCTGGAAAGGCCCGAGGAGCATCGAGTCCCCTTCGAGTCCAAAGTGGGCATTACCCCAACGCCTTGGCCGTATCCCTGTTTCTCCATCGTCTCTGCTCCTCCGCCCATGCTGCTCCATCTTGCTCGCCTCGGCCTGCTCGCCTCGGGAAGCGCGACGGCATTCTGAGCGGGCGCATTCGGGGCTCCTCAACAAAAGGGGTCCCGGAGGCAAGGCTTCTTTTGAAGCTGCTGTTCCCCGTTTTGAGGCCTCCCGCCGACGGCCCCAAGATCGACCCCCTGTCGCGGACAGCGGACACCCACCGCGCGCCGAAGCCGCTCCAACACGCGAGGCGGTGCTCCGACGCTCCGACGTACGCACCCTGAGAGCTTTCAGATCAGCGATCTGGCCCCACGAGCGTCTCGATGGCGATTGGGGAGGCGAGGATGACTGAACTGATGGATTCCGGTGTCAGTTCAGTAGTCCTCGCCTCCCGAGTGGAGATGTTCAGGGGCCAGATCGCTGAGCTGAAGGATCTCAGGGGGCGTACGACGGAGCGTCGGAGCACCACGTCGTGTGTTGGAGGCGGAAGGAGGAGGAGGAGGAGGAGGAGGAGGAGGGGGAGGGGGAGGGGGAGGGGGAGGGGGAGGAGGACGAGGCGAGGTTGACCCCCGTCGGGGTGGGCGAGCCCCCCCGCGAATCACCCGACGCAGGTCGGGGCATCCTCAGAGGCGCGCAGGTCGTCGCGCGTCGCGCCCCGCGGCCTGGGCCTGGAGAGCTCTGCCTTGGTGTGCCTGTTTTCCACCACCACCACAATGAGTAGGAAGGGGGAGGGGGTCCTACTCCTCCTCCTCCTCCCTCCTCCCTCCTCCTCCTCCTCCTCCTCCTCCTCCTCCTCCTCCTCGTCCTCGTCCTCCACCTCCTTCCCCCCTCCGACTTATAATGGTGGTGGTGGTGGTGGTGGTGGTGGTGGTGGTGGTGGTGGTGGTGGTGGTGGTGGTGGAAGACAGGCCCATCGTGCCTTGTGCTCCACGGATCCACGGGGGACCGTGCGAGAGCACGGAGGAGGTCTCGCCCCGCGCCCCCGCGCGGCGCGCGGAGCCAGGAGCGGGGCGGCCTGCGGAGGGAGCCCGCAGGAGCTCCTGCGGAGGTTGGTCGGCTCGTGTGGCGGTTCTGGACTTGCCTGGCGGCTGTCTGACTCGCGGTGAGCTCACTGACGATGCTGGTGGATCGGCACCGAGTGGTTACCTGCATCGCCGTCGGTCCGAGATCATGGCCGTGGAAGGAGGACAAGACGCCAGTGCAGAGGCCCGCCGGTCTTCCAGCGGCGTGGCCGCGAGACCCGCGGCGCGCCCAGGTGCGGGCCGAACTTGGCGCCCTGCGGAACCAGGCGCCGCCGGCCCAGCTGGGGCGGGGGTGGAGGAGGGATGAGGAAGGAGGGGAGCGGTGGTGGTGGTGGTAGCGAGCGAAGCAACACGCACCACGATCACGACGACGCCGACGCCGACGCCGACGACGAAGACGAAGACGACGACGACGCCGAAGACGAGGCGCGCTAACGATCCGCACCAAAGCACGGATTTTGGAAAGGGCCCACCGTGCGAGGCCTGGTACACAGCACATCGTTGAGCGGAGCTGCGGCTGCACCCCCGAGCACCGCCCCCCCCAAGACCAGCAGCCAGACATGGCGGGCTTGCACCCTCATGCCTTGCTGAGCCCAAGGGGGCGTTTCGGCACCCTCTTCCCCAACCTCGCCAGGGCCACCAAATAGGGAGAGGAGGGGGAGGATGAGGCTGAGGACGAGCATCGAGGAGGAGGAGGAGGAGGAGGAGGAGAAGGAGGAGGAGGAGAAGGAGGAGGAGGAGAAGGAGGAGGAGGAGGAGGGGGATGGGAGGAGGAGGAGGAGGAGGGAGGAGGAGGAGGAGGAGGAGGAGGAGGAGGAGGGGAAGAGGGAGGATGAGGAGGACGGCGGCTTGCCCAAGAAAGGGGGGGATGAGGTGGGATGCGCTATGATTTGAGAAAGACCCTCTTCCTCCTCTCCTCCTCCTCCTCCTCCTCCTCCTCCTCCTCCTCCTCCTCCTCCTCCTACTCCTCCCATGCAACATTTCACATTGTTTCACACGCGTGTGGTGTAGCAGGCGCCTCGGCGCCCACTCCGCCGCGCCTTCATGGCGCCACGCGCGCGGAGCCGGAGCCGTAGCCGTAGCCGTGGCCATCACAAGCGTGAACAACATTGCCAACGACGGGGGCTCCAGCAGAGTCGCTCGAGTCGCTGGCTTCGGGAAGGCTGCCAAGATCTTCCAGGAATGCCGACTCAGCCTGGGAAGCACGGAGTTGAGATGACTTTTGCCCCGACTAGTTTCACGGCCCCAGCTTCACCCCACTCCCCAATGATTAAGCATTTCAGGGGAGGAAGCGGTGGCCATGCTGCCAGCTCGTAGGACTTGCTCGAAGCAGAACTGGTGGTCCCCCAAACGCGCCAGTCGTTGGATGGCAGCCTCTGGTCGCAATCTGGATGTGGTACTTGCATCCTGCCTTGTGCACAAATTATCCATATGTCTGCTGCTGCAGCTGCAGGTGTGGTGATGGCCATCGAGTACACGACTAAGTTTGAGAAGGCAGGCAATACAGCCACCAAGGTCGCGTTCGCGCCCGCGCACTGCAGCAGGGCGGCGAGCGCGCGCAAGGCCGCCTAAGTACCCTGGCATCAGCGATATCGACCTGAAGTCGACCACGCAGAAGGCCCACAGGGATGCGGCCGCCATCTGGTCCGAGAAGGTGGGTCAGACTAGGCAGCGAGGGGTGAGCTCCACAATGCGATGCGTGAGCTCTAGCGCAGGGTGTAGGACCTGTCGCCGAAGCCGGCGCTCCGTGGCCTCATCGGCCAGCGCGCGAGGCCACTCCGAGTACCCCAACGGACAGGGGACATGGCAACCCACACTAAACGAATGGTTGCTGCCACGGAGGCCGAAGCAGGGCACCGGATGTCGGACCAGATCCTGGACGAAGGCTTCGACGTCCTAACCCTCGTCCCGCCCAGAAGACGGCGCAGATCAAAACGACCAGCTTTACCGTCCCACAACGTCTGGGGTCATGTGAAGATCTGTGCACTGGTTGGAGAAGGCTGGCGGGAGAGGGGGGAGGATCATGCCTTTGATAGTTTGTAGGTGGAAGGGGAGAGGATGGGAGGCTCGCGCCGCGCCCCCTTCTATGCCCTCCGAACATGTCTATCCCGCGCGGCGCGATCTGTGAACGGGGTGAGGACCCACCGCGCGAGGTGAAGCACGAAACGCTTATCGTTGGGACTGCAGGAGGCAACGTAAGGCTCTGGAGTTTGCGTCCTGTCGGCCAGGTTTTCCATGCTGGACTTTCGGGATACAGGGCGGCGTTCCATCCTTGCTTTTGGAAGTCCAGCCGTACGCGGTAATCGCCACGATTCGCCATTGCTGCGTCGCTCCCCATGCGTATAGAACAAAACCATGGTTGTCTGAGCTTGAGGTAGCTTGAGGTTGCCGGTGCTGCTGACGTCGGTGCCGTCAGGGTCTGTGCTTTATCCGGGTGCCCTGCGTCTGGTTCTGTGACGGTGCTCCTCTCATATTAGATGTACAGTGTATGGGCTGACGGTGTGGGCAAGATGCCGTACCTGTGTGGGTGCAGGCGTCCCTCCTATCTTTTCCTCTTTCAAGAAGCCCCACCATGTCAATATTTGCTGTCGGCCCTCCCCAACACGGAATGGCCTTCTAGCATTCTTGGCACAATCATGCATTGAAATCGTCACGATTCGCAAGTGTCGCACTTTGTCTGAGCCTGAGCTTGCCGTCGTCATCATCGCTGCCACCAGGGGTCCGATGTTGCTCCGCCAGGATGGTGACTTGATCTCGTAGCGGTGTTACTGATTTCCATGCGAACCAAAAACGCACCACACGCAACAACAAAATACACAGACAGACGAACAGGAAAACTGACGGACAGACAGACTCACCGCCACACACACACACTGTCTCTCGTCGCGGGCTGGGCCTGGCCACAAGCGGCTCGTCGGTTCGCGGACGCGCGCGCGCGCTGGCTAAGCAGTTCGAGAGTGCGCGGGGCCCTCAAGGGGCGGTGGCGGGGGAAGGGGAGCATTGGCTGCGGCGCGCACACACAGACACACACATACACAAACGCACACACACACAGTTCGAGTCAGCGGCGCAGAGAACCTTCAGGCGCGAGCAGCAGATGGAAGTGCTAACTGCGATCGAACACTGTCGAAAGCACAGTGTACAATGCGTGCTGCACACACACACACACACACTTTTTGGTGGTAGCGGCCCCGCGCGCAGCGACGAGGCGGAGACACGGTAAGTTTGGAACGCGGAGCAGCGGCCAGGCACCCAATAATCACACACGCATAACCCCAGCAGTTGCAGATGGGCGGAGGCAGATGTGAAACAACCCGGCGCACAAGCGTAATTGCGTAGCCCTTGCAATTGCAGATGAGCGGAGGCAGATGTGAAACAACCCGTCGCCGAATTTTTACGCAACAGGCCCGCCGCGGGCGCCGACTCCTGCAAAGGGCCGACGGCGCGTCGTCGGGCGAATCGCGCGGCGGGTCGCGGTTGGATCGCGGATTAGTCGCGGGGCAGGTCGCCAGTGGTGCGTGGGTGGGTCGCAGGGGCGGGGCGCGGGCGGTTCGCGGGTGGGTCGCCGCGTGTGAGCCGCGCGGCGGGGTATGGCAACAAGAACGAGAGCCGTCCGCATTGTGGTAGCCCACGATGGCCCTGCACCCAGGGACAGTGCAAGACCGCTCGGCCCCCCCTCGCTTCTGACATGTACACACATCAACACATATATATATATATATATATCATATATCTATATATGTATATGGTATATGGTATATGAGATATGGTATATGATATATGGTGTATGATATATATATATATACATATATACATATATATATATATATGCATATATATATATATATATGTATATATGATAGGCCGGGGGGGGGGGGGGGGGGCAAAATCGGTGCCGTCATCCCCCATTCGGGCCCCCCCGAACCTTTGGGGGGTCACAGACCCCCCGGAATTGCCCCGGGCCGCTTCCAAATTGCCCACGACAGGCCACGCGGGCCGTACACATGGTCACGAAAGCCTGACGAGGCCCCGAGACGCCCAAGAGCGCCCCAAGAAGGCCCGTGAGGGCCCCAAGAGGGCTTTCAAGAGGCAAATATCGGCCCATTGCCTTCGTAAAACGTACATTTTCGGCATACTCGCTTGCTTCGTCTTCACAGTGCCTCAGACGCCCCCGCGGCGCCCCAGCACAGCCCAAGAGAGACCCAAGAGGGCCCCAGACGGCCCCAAAGGGTCGGCCTGTGGGGCTCACGGAACCCCCCAAGACGGCCCAAGAGGCCCCAAAGCCGGCCCAGGAGGCCCCCAAGACGGCCTCAGGGAGGCTCAAGAGGGCCCCGTTCGAAATCATGTTCCCGGAAGCCTCTTCGGGAACATTACTTGCGGGCTCCCAGGGCCCCCTACTGAGCCCCAGGACAGCCTCAGCGAGGCCCCAGAGGGCCCGAGATGGCTTGAAGATGGGCGAAGAGGGCCCCAAGAGGGCAGTCAAGAGGCAAACATCGGCTCATTTCCTTCGTAAAACGTGCGTTTTCGGCATACTCGCTGGCTTCGTCTTCACTGTGCCCCAGACGCCCCCGCGGCGCCCCAACACAGCCCAAGAGAGACCCAAGAGGGCCCCAGACGGCCCCAAAGGGTCGGCCTGTGGGGCTCACGGACCCCCTCAAGACGGCCCAAGAGGCCCCAAAGCCGGCCCAGGAGGCCCCCAAGATGGCCTCAGGGAGTCTCAAGAGGGCCCCGTTCGAAATCATGTTCCCGGAAGCCTCTTCGGGAATATGACTTCCGGGCTCCCAGGGCCCCCTACTGAGCCCCAGGACAGCCTCAGCGAGGCCCAGAAGGGCCCGAGATGGCTTGAAGATGGGCGAAGAGGGCCCCAAGAGGGCCTTCAAGAGGCACAAATCAGCCCACTGCCCCGGTAACACGTACATTTTCAGCATACTCGTTGGCTTCGTCTTCACTGTGCCCAAGACGCTCCCGCGGAGCCCCAAGACAGCCTAAGAGAGACCCAAGAGGGCCCAAGACGGCCCCAAAGGGTTGGCCTGTGGGGCTCACAGAACCCCCCAAGACGGCCCAAGAGGCCCCGAAGCAAATCATGTTCCCAGAAGCCTCTCCGGGAACATTACTTCCGGGCTCCCAGGGCCCCTTCGAGTGCCCCAGGACGGCCCCAAAAGGGCCCTCAGAGGACACTGGAAAAGGTCGGAGGGCCACAGTTGCTCATTTGCGCGACATGTTGTTCCATTTCTTCCGCGCGGAGGAGACGGAGAGGGCGAAGGAGGAGGAGGAGACGGAAGAGGAAGAGGAGAGAGAGGAGAAGGTGGGGAGGAGGAGGACGAGGAGGGGAGGAGGAGTGGGGGGGAGGGCTCCAGGACGATCGACGATCCCCGACGGTGGTCGGCGACGGTGATTGATGATGACGACGACGGTCGTCGACGGCGACGGTCGACGACGACGACGCTCGACGACGACGACACCAGTTGCCGCCGCCGATCGGCAAACGACGACGATGGCCACGACCACGGCGACGGCCGAGCCACCTTGGGCTCAGGGCTCAGGTCGGCAGGTGCAGTGTTTCTCCGAAGGGCTTCGAGCAGTGGCGAGGCGTCCTGGCTTCCCTCTGAGCGCGCCCAGAATGATCTAAGAGCCCATTGTAGTTTGCACGGCATGCTCTCAGAACAGATTTTCGGGGGCAGCGATAGGGGGGCATAATTCAGGGGGACGCATCGACCCCCAGGCACCCAAAGACAGTTCCCAGAGGCCCCGGACACGCCGAAGGTGGCCTCAGGACGGCCGACGATGCCGCCAAAACGGCCCAAAGCCGAAAATCATAAATTTCCCAATGGTTTTTGTTGAAGCATTTTTGCGCTCTCCCATGTTCCACCTCCCCACGGTCCCGGACCGCGTCAGAGGCCCTTCAGATCGCTCCAAGACGGCCGTAGAGGCTCCCAAGAAAGCCCAGAGACGGCCCAGGAGGCTCCCCAGCAAAGTCAACAGGGCCTCGAGAGCGCCCCCCAAGAGCGAACCAAGAGGGCCCGAAGACCGCGACATTGCAAGGTCTCAGGCCTGAGAGGCTCCTAGAACACCCCCGGAGGCCATCAAGAGGCTCCCAAGAAGCCCCGTGAGGCTCCCAAGAGGCCCCCCGGAAGCCCCAATAGGCCCCCAATGGACCCCCAGGGAAGCCCCCTGCGGGCCCCCAAGACACTTCGGTAAATCGTAGTTCCCAGATAGCTTTCCGGGAACAGGATTCTTCCGCCCATCGCCCCAACCATGTTTCCAATATGGTTGCCGACAAGGCCAAAAGGCGCACCTCGGTAAGCCCCCAGAGGCCCCCCTCTTAAGAGAGCCGAACAACGAGCTTCCCGGGAACATGATTCTCTATCTCGGAGTAGGCCCGAGAGGGGTGGGCGGGCCGCTGCCTGTTCCCCCCATCGATGCCCACCGGGGGTTGCGGGGGGGGGGTCCAGAGCTCCCGAGGCGGCCCGAGCCCGCCCCGAAGCAGGCCACGACAGGCCAAGGGGGTCCCGAGAGGGCCCAAGACGGTCCCACGAGGCCCCGAAGACGCCCAAGATGCCCTCAAGACAGCCGACGAGGACTCCAACACGCTCCACGACGGACTCAAGAGTCTCCCTAAGAAGGGCCTGGAAGGCAAGATTCACTCATTTTCCGAGTGTTTTGGATTTTGGCGTTCTCGTTGTTCCCGCTTTCCAGCGCTCCCTCACGGCCTCGGAGGCCATTCAGATCGCTCCAAGAAGGCCCACGAGGCCCCGACGAGGGCCCCAAGACGGCCCAGGATGCTCCCCAGACAACCCAAGTGTGCCCCAAGAGCCGGGCCCGCCCCGAAGCAGGCCACGACAGGCTAATGGAGGTCCCGAGAGGGCCCTAGACGGTCCCAAGAGGCCCCGAAGACGCCCAAGCTGCCCTAGACGGCCGACGAGGACTCCAACACGCTCCAGGACGGACTCCAGAGGCTCTCCAAGAGGGCCATGGGAGGCAAGATTCGCTAATTTTCTGATGGTTTTGACGGATTTAGGCGTTCTCGCTTTCCCCGCTTCCCAGCGCTTCCTCACGGCCTTGCTCGGAGGCCCTTCAGATCGCTCCAAGACGGGCCACGAGGCCCCGACGAGGGCCCCAAGACGGCCCAGGATGCTCCCCAGACAACCCAACTGTGCCCCAAGAGCTCCCCAAGAGAGGGCCCAGAGGGGGACCGCCAACCGATATTTCGAGGTCTCTGGCCCTAGGGCCAGAGACCTCGAAATATCGCGCCTAGCTAGGCCGCCTGTAGGCCCCTGGAGGCCACCAAGAGGCTCCCAAGAAGCCCCGTGAGGCTCCCAAGAGGCCCCCAGGAAGCCCCAAGAGACCCCCAAGGGGCTCCCAGGGAACGCCCTAGAGGCCCCCCAACACACCCCAAGAAATCATGTCCCCAGAAAGCCGTCCAAGGACATGGTTCATCATGGGCCCGAGAGTTCTCGGAGGCCCCCAAGGGATCCCCAGGGAACGCCCAAGAGACCCCCCAACACACCCCAACAGACCATGTCCCCAGAAGGCCTTCCGGGGGCATGGTTCATCATGGGCCCGCGAGTCTCCGGAGGCTTCGAAGTACCATCATGCTACAGGAGAGCTGTCAGGGAAGTTGATTGGGAACATGACTCATCGCCTTCTCGCGGCCCTCCGCAGATCGTTTCGCACAAAGTTGCCCCAAGTGCCCTCTTGAATCGACGACGACGACGAAACGACGAAGACGACGACGACGACGACGACGACGACATTACGACGACGACGACGACGACGACGACGACACGCACCAACAGGCTACCCAAGACGCCCCCAAACCCATGGCCCATGCTCCCAGAAGGCCTTCTGGGAACCCGATTCATACGGCCTCCGGCCCTCTACACAACCATCTTCCTCGAAGGCCTTTTTGGAATGCAGGTTGGAATGCGTGTATTGTGGTCCACTACTTCAGTGGAGCAGTGAAATTGTCAAGGCCTGGGGCCTGCTAGAACCTGAGCGCGCGCGAAAAGCGCGCGATGGTTCTAGTATATATATATATATATATATATCGATGCACGTTTGCATATGTACAGACAGCTGGTCTGTATATGTGTATGTGCATATGTCGATGCAGGCACACATGCGTATAGGTATGTATACACATATGTGTAGACATGTGTGTCTATGGATCTCTGCACATGTCAGACTTCGTTGCACGCATGTGCTTTTTTTGCATGTGTACATGCACATACGTATGTTTACATGCATGTAAGTACACATGTGTATATACACGAACACAAGTACATATACACATGCTTATCCATACGTGTACATCGTTATGTTGTATGAACATTAAGTGTGCATGTGTATGTGAGTCTTTTTATATATGGATATGTACATGTGCGGAGCACGCACCACGCAGATCAGCAAAACATGCCCATGGAGTGCAGGCCTAAGCTCCGTTCGTGGCTTCGGATACGGTTAGCGTGTTCGTCTGGGTGGAACGTGCCACTGGCTGTCCAGAGCAAGTGCCTCTCGCACTGCGCCTCTACTTCGTCATGGCGTCGGCCACCGGCGCCAATGTCCGTCACGTGACCGCCATGAAATTCTCTGACAGTTCTGCCTCTTTCTTTGAATCGTTATTTTCATGTTTGTTGCTTCGGTTTTCAGAACTCCCTTATCCCTTCTCGTCAGCACCATTCTCCGCATTTGCATGTTGTTGCCGAGAAGCTGGATACACACGATTCGGCCAGCCTGGGCGGGAACTGGCTGCACATGTGGCCGCGCATCGTTCCAGAGCTCGGCCCTCGCGTGGCTGGGTTAGCTGGCCCTCAGGACGCGTATCCAGAGCGTGGGCTCGGACGTTCCACAGGTGGGTCCAGCCGAACGTGTGTTCCAGCCTCCTACTACGGTCGAGCATCTGATTAAGAAACCTCCCCCCGAAAATCTGGGCCAGCGTTTCTTGGCCAACTTGCCGGGGCAGCTGGCTCAGTTTCTTGAGCGCGTTCGCCCATCCAGCGTTGACACAATAACTTGGCCAGGTTTGTCTTAAGACATTGTCGGAAAGCTGCCCCAGGTTTCTTAAGTGATGATTTTCTTGATCATATTTTCGGCTGTGCCCTGTGCATCTTGACCTGCGAACGGACCTCCAGCCCCTCCCGGGCGCAGGAGCTGGCGGTTTCCCTGGCCAAGCTCTGCTGCGTGACGTGGCGCTCCGGCGGGGAGGTGCTGAGCTTGGGAGGGCAACCTGACGATCAGGAGGACGAGGAGGAAAGGGAGGAGGAGGAGAACAGGGAGGAGGAGGAGGAGGAGGAGGAGGAGGAGGAGGAAGAGGAGGAGGAGGAGGAGGAGGAGGAGGAGGAGGAGGAGGAGGAGGAGGAGGGGAAGCAGAGGACGAGGAGGTACGAGGAGGACGAGGAGGGCGAGGAGGACGAGGAGGAGTAGGAGGAGGAGGCGGAGTAGCAGGACGAGGGGCAGGAGAGGGAAGCGGGAGAGGACGAGGAGGACTGGAGGGGAGGAGGGTCAAGGCAGCGGAGAGAGAGAGAGAGAGAGAGAAAAGGATACGTGCTTGTAGTGAAGGGAAACAGCTGTCAGGTGTAGGAGAGAGGGGGGGGGCGAAGTGGGATGCGAACGATAGAGGACGATGATGGAGGGGTGTCGGAGAAGGAGGAGGGAACATATGATGGTTGGAGAAGACGGTGATGAGCAAGTGTATGTGCGAGGGGTCGAAGTGGGATTTAGAAGGAAGGCGAAGCTGACAGTATTTGTTCTACTGGAGTCGGGTTCGGGCAGATTTGCAGGGTGATCTCGGTGGAGAGAAAGGGGTGAGGACGAGAGAGGACGATTAGGAGGATGAGGACGAGGAGGAGGACGGCGGAGGAGGACGGCGAGGACAAGGAGGAGGAAGAGGAGGAGGAGGAGGATACGTTGGGAGAGATTTGTTTCTGGGTAAGCTCTGGTTCGCCCTTGATCCTGAACTCCCGAACCGTACTGGCTGAGGTTCCCGGAGGCCTCTTGAAGACCCGACGAGGACAATTATCATCCAGAGATTATTGAAAACGGCCAAGGGCCTCCCGCCCCGATCCTCGTGGGTCGAGTTCCTAACTCAGCATCCGCCTCCTCTCCTCCTCCTCGTTCTCCCACTGCCTGGAGGTCCTGCTCGAGGAGGGCCTGGTGCTGGAGCTGGAGGGGGAGGGCGAACCCGCGCGTCTTGAGGATGAGCTGCGGCTGGAACTGCAGGAGCTCTTTCAGGGGAGGGGGTCCTCCTCCATGGTTCCATGCTCGAAGCGTGTGCAAGTCTGCGCGCAGCCGATACGTGCACATCTCGGCCAGGTGACCATGTGGACTATGCCCCGAATCCCCGAATCCATGTAGGAAAATCCGTTTCCTCTTCTTCCTCTCTTTCCTCATCCTCCCCTTCGTCATCTCTTCGTCTTCCCCCGCCCCTCCTCTTCTTCCTCCGTCTTCTGCTTCTGCTCCTCCTCCTGCTCCTCCTCCTCCTGCTCCTCCTCTTTCTTTTTGATTTCCTTCCGTGGCCAATTTGGCTTAGCTGGCTCCCTGGTGAAGCCAAGTGGATACCGCTGATACGCGGTTGCTTCTCGTTTTTCTCCTGGACGATTTAACGGCAGTGCAGACTGTCAATCTCATTGGCGCCCCTTTCACTGCGCATTCTGGGAAGGTTTTCTGCAAGGGTTTCTTTTGTCTTCTGGTGGTGTTCGCCGTCTTGTCGTGCTCGGGACGTAGTTTCGGAACAGAGACAAGATGCCCGAAGCAGCCGGTGGCAAGAAGAAGGCCGGGCCGAGGAAGTCGCAAGATCCCCCTCCCTTTGATGAGGTCTCTCAAGACCGTGCTGCTCCTGGGACGCGTGACGATGTGCGCCCACGCTCCGATCGAGCGGCCGCAAGTACGAATGGTGATAACGACCAACATGAATGGCACAGCAACCGCGTCAACCAGTTGGTCCGCGCCCACATCATTGAGACCTTCGGCGAGTTCAACGAAGGATGAGAAGAGACGTCCTCCTCTTCCGCCAAGGACGCAGCAGCTGTTGCGGCCGCTCCCGTCGACGTGGCAATCAAACAGCTCAGCGACGCCAGCTTCAACGCCCCCGCAAACGCTGCTGGTGCTGACCAGACCAGAGCTGGTTGACACTGAGAAGAGGCACCTACAACAACTAATCGCCGATTTCGGTCACACATTGGGCGAGCACGTTGCCAAGCTCTGAAAGCACGATGACGTGTCCTTCGACCTCCAATTCCAGATGCAGGAGATCGGGCAGGAACTGGCACTCGCCCAACGTGCTCCTTCTCCACCCAAGCCGAATGATCGCGTTTTCAAGCGTGGCGTGGACACCGCCATCCTCGAGGTCATCGCCTCCGAGCTGGTTTTAAAAGGGCGGCGCCAAGGAGTCCCCAGAGGCGTGCTTCAATTCTGCAGACATGGAGGGGCGTTCAACGTGGAATCAGCTGGGGCGCTGCCGAAGCTTCTCATTGTCCAGCTCTCTTGGCCTATCGCTGTGGCCAGCACGGGAGGTCAGCAGGGCCTGGGGGCTTTTAAAGCCACGGGTGGTTGGGTCAGGTTCCCAACGCCCTCAGTGGAGGTCCCACCCACGCAACTACATGTGGGACCAGACAGGTAACCCTCCCAACTTCTACGGGGGATTCAAGGCAAGAGTCGCGTTGCAAAGATGCGGGCAGAGTTCGGCGTCAAGAGGATTTCCTTGGATCGCAGCAGCGGCTGGCCCTCTGAAAGCTAGGGCCCCACTTCTCAGGTTGGCTCCAAGTGCTGGCAGGGCACGCATGCTGGTTTACTGGAGTGACAAGGGCCTAGCAGACAAGCAGCTCTGCAGATATTGCGGCATATCGAGTCCATCGTCTCCCCCGATGCCCAGCCTGAGTGGCGTCGTTGACATGTTCCTGAGCTTCCAGCACTGCAACGTGATGGTTTCGTGGTCGGCAACGGGCCTTGGATATTCAGCTCATCCGATTTTAATTTTTGGCACGTGGAACGCTCGAGCCCTATTCAGATGGCATGGCCTTTTGGCGGTGGAGTAGTCGGGCCTTCGACAGCGTGACCTAGGCCCCGCGTTCGTGGCCATCCGAGAGGCACGCCAAATTCGGGATCATATCATGGCGTTCTTTCAGCGGGTTCCCCCCCCATCCCCAGGTGTTTTGCAGCACCTTGAGTCAAACTTCCACGCGCGGCACATCTGATACGGTTGCGGTTCCATTTCTTTCTGCTGCTTCGGCGAGATCTCCGAGAGAGACCACCATGGCTAGGGGGCGAGTGCTCCAGGTCGCGCCGCGCGCCTACACGGCGGTGCCGCGCCATTGCAAGACCCGCAACTATGACTTCTTCCGCCGAGCAGATTCCGAACGTACTCTGCATTCTACGACGAGATCTTGTCTGGGCTAGGCGGCGGCGCCCGCGCGGTCGGCGCCCGATCGCGGCGGGCGACGTGATTTTCGCGTCCAGCAGCGAGCTCGACATCCTACAACCGCGCAGCAGGGGCCCGGTCAGCATGCGCCACAACGCCCTCTACATCGCCAATGAGTGGAATGAGTTTCTGGACGCGCTGGAAGAGCGCAAAGACACGGGCGCGCGGTCTTCACGTGGTCGGGCCTGGACGGCCGCGCCCGCGGGGCGGCGCAGAAATCGACGCCCCCGAGAACCTTCGCGACAAAAGAGGTCTCGCGCCGCGCCGAGCTCTGGATGGCCATCTAAGCGAGAAGCAACCCAGCACGCGCGGGCCGCGTCATTCCGCCCCTGGCGCGCGCCAGGCCCCGCTTCGCAGCGATCTGGGGGCGCCCCGGCGCGAACGAAGCCGAAGACCTCGCCCGCAAATCACCCCCGCCCCCGCTTCCTTGTTTCGAGGGGGACCCTAGAGATCTGCCGCGGTAAGACGGGCTCAGGCGCGGGCCCCTTTCGGCGAGGGGGCGGCGCTGAGAGCCGCGCGAGACGAGGGGGGGCCGCGTCGGCCAGCGGGATCAGCCCCGGGCCACCTGCAACAAGTGGGCGCCGGTTTCTCAGCAGCCCCGCTCGAGCAAGGGCACGCGCGCCGACGCGACGCTATCTTTGTTGGACAGCGCGCGCCCCGCGACCCACCGCCTTCCAAGTTGGAGCTGGCGCGGCGCGCCCTCCTGAAGATGACAGGGGGTGCGCAGTGCTGCCAGGTTTGACGGCGCCCCCTGACCGGGCGCGGATCGCCGCGCCGACTGGCGCCGAGATAATGCGCGCGTTCGGATGCGTGGCGGCGGCGGGCCTTCCAGATCAGCTGGCGACGCCCAGTGGGCCCTCGTTCAAGAGGGGCTCATCTTCGCGGTCGCCCTGGTGGCTCAGTCATTCGTGCATCTTGTGAAATCCGAGCTTTCAGTTTTCGCATCTCTGGTGCCGAGCTCATCTCCGCCCTGCTGAACACAGCGGCCTGCAAGTCCGTCAAGGAAGTGGCCCCGCTCTCCCAGCGCGGGCTCGCCCCGGAGCGCAACCTTGCAGACGGCTTGAGTGAATTGGGCATTGTCGCGCGCAGCGCCAGCATCATGCCCGACGCGCAGCCCCCCCATCCCCCGCCCTGGCGGGCAGGGGCTTCGGACAAGCCTTCCCCGGCCTCTCCCGGAGGTGTCTGCCGACGGCCCTAGAGGTCCATGGCGCCCCCGCGGTCTTCTCCCGAGCGGCGCGGAGTCCTTGCGCGCGCGCCGCGGCGGTCTCTGCGCGGTCGGCCTCGTCGCCCATTTATTTGCCGCCGGCAGAGGCATGATTCAAAGATGCGCTTTGTCGGGCAGCTGCCGCGCGATTGCTGCCGCCCCTCTCGCGCGCGGCGTCGAGGTCTCCATCGAGCGCCGCGAACTGGGCATTTTCCGCGCATGCGCGGATGACACGTCAGGAGTGTTATTCGCGGTGGGCACCTCTTTCTTTTTCTCCCTCTCTCTCTGTCCATATATCGTTGTCTGTGTCTGTCTGTTTGCCTGTCTGTCTGTCTGTCTGTCCGTCTGCCTGCCTGCCTGCCTGCCTGCATGCGTCTCTCTCTCTCTCTCTCTCTCTCTCTCTCTCTCTCTCTCTCTCTCTCTTCTCTCTCTTTCTCTCTCTCTTTCTCTCTCTCTCTCTCTTTTTTTCTCTTTCTCTCTCTATATATATATATATCTCTCTCTCTCTTTGTCTTTATTTGTATGTATCGCTCTCTCTCTTTCTCTTTCTCTCTCTCTCTCTCACTCTCTCTCTATATATATATATCTCTCTCTCTCTCTCGCTTTCCCCTGTCCCTCTCCCTTTCTTCCTGTCTCTGTCTCTGTCACTGTCCCTGTCTCTGTCTGTCTGTCTCCTCTCTCTCTCTCTCTTTTTCTCTCCCTCTCTCTCTCTCTATCTGTCTCTCTCTCTTTCTCTTTTTGTCTTTATTTGTATGTATCGCCCTCCCTCTCTTCTCTCTCTCTCTCTCTCTCTCTCTCCTCTCTCTCTCTCTCTCTTCTCTTCTCTTTCTCTTCTCTCCCTCTCCCTTTCTTCCTGTCTCTGTCTCTGTCCCTGTCTCTCTCTCTCTCTCTCTCTCTCTCTCTCTCTCTCTCTCTCTCTCTCTCTCTCTCTCTCTCTCTCTCTCTTCTCTCTCTCTCTCTCTCTCTCTCTCTCTCTCTCTCTCTCTCTCTCTCTCTCTCTCTCTCTCTCTCTCTCTCTCTCTCTCTCTCTCTAGTCTCGGCTCGAGAGTGCCCTGCACTCATAGCGTAGCCGCGACGCGAAGCGCCCCGCTCTGGAGCCCCGACTCCAGGCCTCGCGAGACCGGAACCGCGCCAGCAGCGCGGTACTGATTTGCGTCTCCTCACTTCCACAGTGCGATTGCCGCCATGGCCCCCCTGGCTGCGCCAGGCCGCCACCGCACTTTCTCGTCTCACCATGCTGTACTACCTGAGCTGCCTGGCCTTGTTACTGAACATAGGCACCAGGACCTTGTCTTCCGCGTGCCCGTCCTGCACGGGCGCGACCTCCCAGTGCCACCTGGACACGCCCCACACGTGCCGCGTGCGGATCTTCACGAAGATCTACGTATACTCGGGCACGACGTGTTCCACCTGCGCGCCGAGCTGCGCGCCTACCGAGCCGACCTCCGCGCTCACCTACCAGGCACCGACGCCAACACAGACGACTCCGTCCAGCACCTGCTCACCTCGGTACGGCCAGGTATCCAGGGGGGGGTCGGGCTCCCGACTGCTGAGGGTGACGGTGCTGAGTGCGGTCGGGCTGTTCCCACGCCTGCCGTC